CTCTTCTCCCTAGGGGTCACGAGCTGCACGAAAAGAGGGGAGGAGAAGGTCGGATTTAAGGGTTTCGCTAACTTTCTCTCTCGCTAACTCCCTCTCTCTCTCTCTCTTTCTAGTCTCTCGTTCTATTACGCTACTACAACTACTCGCTCTCGCGCTATATTTTCAAGCAAGACCAGCGCGAGATCGTAGAATCGCGGGGAAATTAAACGGGCATTCGGGACACGGGGCGAAAAAAAATCGCGTCGCTCGTAAATTTCACGACGGCCAAGCGAGCAACCGGCCAACCGTTCGCCTCGCCTCGCCTCGCCTCGCCTCGCCTCGCCCCGGACCCATCCCTCGTCCCGCCGCACCTCGTCGCGCCTCACCGCGCCGAAGCCTCGTTCCCTCGAACGCTGCCGCTGCGAACAGTCGGCCGACCGGAAACTCGGACACGCCGAGTCTCCAAGACGGCGATCGCGATCGCGCTCGCGTAGACACCGAGAGCTTCTTTGAAAACTCGTCGTCAAAGAAATATAGATGTAAATATGCGCGTGTAGAATAAAAATCGTCGTCGTCGTCGTCGTCGTCGTCGTCGTCGTCGTTGTTACCCTACATCGTGACTGCCGTGTCCGTGAGGGAGGGAGAGTCTCTCACCCGTGGCAAACAACGACTACGACGACGACGACGACGACGACGTCGACGGTTGAGAGAGAACCGGCAAGGGTCGCGCGGACTCGAGAGAAGAGGGGTTTCACTGGATGGAAAGACGGCGGAGGGGTGAAGACGGAGAGAGAAGCGCGCGGTTCGACAGCACACCGTCGACCGATGGAAGGAACACACACCGAGGGGGACGCGAACGCAAAGGGGGCAGAGGCGGAAGGGCGGCAATGGGACGAGGGACCGAGGGACCGAGGGTCGGCACGAGGGACGACGGAGGGGCGACGGGGAGGGGGAGGGACGATAGGTAGCGCAAGAGAAGAGCAAGAGGCGAGATCGTCTCGTCTCGTCTCGGTAAGACGAGAGAAGCAAGCGGTGTGGTTGAAGCAAGAAAACGCGAGGCCGCGGCGGCATGGCAAAGCATGGCAATGGCATGGCAAGGCAAAGCAAGACAAGGCATGGCATGGCATGGCATGGCATGGCATGGCATGGCAAGTCGCAAGCTGGGCTGCGGCGGTGTTCCACGGAGCGAGGGGGCAGTCAAAGATAGGACGTAGAGTGGGAGTAAGGGCCGAGCGACGCGGCGAGGGGCGAGGTCCGCGGTAGTGGTGGGGTGGACGGAGTTGAAAGGAGTGGGAGGAGGCAGCGAGGGGAAGGGATAGAGAAGACGGAGTCGCGAGTCCGCGGAAAGCAGTTGAGCGTCGCGATTCGTCGCGAGAGCATCGTGCGTTCTCGGTCCCTGCGCACACCATCCCCACCACTCTCGTCGCGCGCTCTCGTAGTATACCGTGTGCACGCACACACCGAGAAGACAGTTTACTGCGAACTGCGGAGCCGAATAGACAGACGGTTTCGTTCGACTGACCGGTAACGACCATCATCATTCTCATCGTAATCATCGTCGTGTACGCAAGTTCGGCAGTCGACTCGACGCAACGCGCAGTTATACGACAGAGAGTCGTCAATCGAGTGACGATAGACGTGGTGCACACACACCGGCCGATTCAGTCGAGGTCGATCCATCGTCAGGCGAGGACCTCGCCGGTGTGTTACGGGTTTTTTTTTTCTCTTTTTCGTTATTCGGCCGCGCTGTTCCCGTGTCGGTGGGAATAATTTCAAATCGAACACGAAACGCGTCTCGCTCGTTTGTGTGCCGATTTATTATTGTGTGTAACGTAACGCGTCTGCTGCTGCTGCTGCTGTTACTGTTACTGCTGCTTTTGCTGCTCCTCGAGAAGATCTCGTCTCGAATTGTTCTTCTTGTTTTTTTCCGTTTCTTCCTCACGGATCTCTCATCGGTCAACTGCGACAGTGAGAAGAGAGACGAGAAGAGAAGAAAGTGAATTTGGAAAAGTGAGTAGTGAGAATTTGAGTCGGTGCCGAACGTACGAAGGACAACCACGCTGTCGCGCACGATTTCACATACGTACCGAGTGCTTTCAAATTTCGCTCTCGTCGAACGCCCAGTTTTGAACGTTTCTTTCGTTTTTCTCTTTTCCTCCTTCGATTCCCGCACCGCGAGTGTTACTTTTCTCCGCATGTAACTTCTTTTTCCTTCTTCTACGAAAATTGTTGTTTACCCGGGCGAAAATTTCTCGGTTCCGCTGCCTCCTCGGCCGGCGAAAGAAACGCCAAAAACACGAGCGGGACAAAGAGACTTTCCTTCTCTCTTTCTCTTTCGATCTCGTTTGGTTCGTCCTCTCCCCCGAAACGTTGTCACGAGCTTCACCGCGTCGCCAGCAAGCCTCGAGCCGTCTTGTGACGCGCGAGAAGGCGATCGATCGACGTTCACGTTCCAGATCGCGCCATCCGACTATATCGGGCCTGCGTGTGGACACGCGAGGAATTCCAATTGCTCGTCCGCGAGACAGCGGACACGCGAGACGTGCCTCGACGAGACGACAAGAGAAGAGAAAGAAAAAAAAAAGAGAGACAGAGAGAGAGAGAGAACTCGCTGTGTGTGTTTTTTTTTTGTGCCTCGAGTCCCTTTGTCCGATTCTCTCTCTCTCTCTCAC